TTTTAAGGATCCCTATTGTCTTTGAATATTTGTAATAACATAAGTAGTAATGAAGAGAAAGCGAGATTTGGGAACTTCATTAATGTTATGGCATAAACCTTTGGGCCATATCTCACGACAAAGAATGACAAGACTAGTGAAATATGAAGTTTTATCGAACCTTAGTTTATTGAATTTTGAAAATTGTATCGAATTTATTAAAGGGAAAGCAACCAAAGGATAAGAAAGGGTCCACTAGGAATAAGAAATTACTTGAGCTAGTCAACACTTTTTGGTCTTGTCAGTGTCCTAAAACCGAGTAAGACTTGCCCAAATGATACTTATTGCATACACTTTTGTTTTAGGAAGCATTATGTATGCTTAAGCTTGTACTTGACCAAATGTTGCTTATGTGGTTGGTATGTTAGAGGAATATTAATCAAACTCTAGCTTGGACCGTCGGAAAGCTGCTAAGAAAATCCTATGATACTTACAAGGGACAAAGGTCTACAAACTACATATAGGAGATTGGATAGTCTTGAGGTAGATCCAATTTCTCTAAGGTGGCGTTTGTTTCGCAGAATGTTTTTGGATGAAACAGAATCTGTTAAAGAAAATTTAACTTTGAAAGAATTGTAATGGAATGTTGTCATGTTTGACCACTTGTTTAGTTGGCAGACATTAGAATGAAATCTGTTAAGAAATTGGAATCTGTCTGTTTGGTTCACAAAATGTATCTTTGGAATTGAAATGAAATATTAGTAAATGACCAAAATGCCTTTTTATGATAATTTTAATTTTATAAAACTAAATATAGTTTCAATAAAATAAGTCAAACGACGTTACTAAATCAACGGTGGTCTGTGGTGGTTCAGATCGGTGGTGGTCCACGATGGTTCAGATAGGTGGTGGTCGACAGTGGTTCAAATCGATAGTGGTCAGCAGTGGTTCAGATAGACATTGGTTCAAATCGACGGTGGTGGTGGTGGTGGCTCAGATCGACGATGGATCAGATTGGTGGTGGTTTAGATCGGCGGTGGTCGACGGTGGTTCAGATCAGTGGTGGTTGGTGGTGGTTCAGATGGCGATGGTCGATGGTGATTCAAATCCACGATGGTCATATTGGGATTTATGAGATTAAGGTATATTGGGTTAAGGGAATATTTGGTATCATGAAAATAGAGAATTTTATTCCATCAAAATACCATGTAGTTGCTATGTAATGTTAAATTCCTTTATTAGTGGAATTTATAGGATTTTGAAGATTCCTTTCGTGAAAAAGAATGAATCAAACAAGGGAATACAATTTGTCAATGGAATTCAACATTCCAATTCTATCAGATTTCTTCAGAAAAAGAGAACCAAACGACCCCTAAGTGTAGAAATGATAAGAAATCCACATCAAGATACATATTTATGTTGTCAGCGTCAGGAGGGCTGATTTCATGGTGAAGTCATAAACAACAATTGACGACTACCTCGACTATGATGGTAGAATGTGTGGCTTGTTATCATGTGAGTTGTCACATTATGCTATTGAGGAATTCAATAGGTGTACTTAAGGTTGTGAATTCTATATCAAGGCCATCAACAAAAACATATAATCTATCAATCAAATTACAGCAACAAAAAGAAAAATTATCAGGACACCCAAAATCTCTTCTCCAGGCATCTTTAAGTTTAAGTAAATTTTGTGTTTACCAAAAAGAAAAATTAACATGCCTTTGTTCTGCTATAAGAAGTGATGATGTTGGATAGTGACTAAGCTACGCATCATGCATGCTTCTGTAGATGTCGCGGCTCAGGCTCAGGGTGTGCAGCCGAACCCGGGGCGAGAAATGAAATCTATGCTCTGCAGCCTACTCCTATTGAGGTGCCATATATGGGATTCCTGGTACAACGGGCGCTAGCTACATACAGTATCTGGTCACTGATGAAGTAAGGGAGTTTTTGTTATTTGTTTTTCCTCATTGTTACCTCATCTCTAGTGCATGCTGAAATGTCTTGATTGCTATGGTAGTTTGTTTCTCCAACTCAGTTCTCTCACATCTACTTTGAGAAGCTTGTGCATCTTCATCATTGCTACTTTGTGAACGACTATAAGCAGATAGCCTTCTCAGTGCAAACATTTTTCAGATATTCATATGGATTGTTCTTTTTTCATGAGCATGTTTGTGTACTCCAACTATTAACCTTGTTATGGTTGGGTTCAGAAAAATCCTGATGTACTGGATCCAAACTGTCAACCAAAGCGGTCAGCTTATGGATTGCCAGAGAACAAACTTATATTTGCTTGTTTTAATCAGCTTTACAAGATGGATCCTGGAATTTTTATGACTTGGTAAGATGTGGATTCGGTGTTGACAGCAATTGTCACTTATTTTTAACACATCATGGTACTTTAGTCTTCTAACATGACGTTTCAGGTGCAATATATTAAAGCGTGTTCCCAATAGCGCATTTTGGCTTCTGAGATTCCCAGCTGCTGGTGAAATGAGACTCCGTGCCTGTATGTATTTTGTTACTGGTCTGCTGTTATTTGCATGTGTATTAACTTGTGTTGACATCTCTATGCTTGCCCTTTCTTTTTCTACGAACTTCTGTGGTTATTCTTTTTCCTACTGGTCGTGTTTTCTTCTTGAGTTTCGGGTGTGCACTTCTGCACCTTTGTCTGTTATAAGAAGTGGTGTTGGATAGTAACTAAGCTACACATGATGCTTGCTTCTGTAGATGCTGCGCTCGGGGTGTGCGGCCAGACCAGATCATTTTCACTGATGTTGCTATGAAGTAGGAACACATCAGACGTAGTTCCTTGGCAGATCTTCGCCTTGATACGTATGCTATGCAAATCCTTGTTCTAAGATGGCTTTTGTTTTGTTTTATCGTTTAATCTTTGTTATCAGCAACAGCAAATCCTTACCTAGATGCCTTGTTTGGCAATAACTTTGTCTTCTCGTGGAGTAGGCCGTTATGCAATGCACATACGACAGGAACAGATGTTCTTTGGGCTGGTCTGCCGATGGTGACCCTTCCCCTTGAGAAAATGGCAACTAGAGTTGCTGGTTCACTCTACCTAGCCACTGGAGATGATTGTAAATAGGTTGATGATTTTTAAACCAGATAGTGAAGTAATTATTAAATGTGAACAGTTGTAGTGTGCTACATTTATAAAAACTCCTTGTTGTTTGATTTGTGATATATCGTCATCATTCGTCAAGTAAGTTCTTGTAAGTAATTGAATTGACATAGAATCAGTCCAAGACATTTAATTAAGATAGTATTTAATTGATACTGAATCAGTAAAAGTTGTCCAAAAATGCTTTAATGGGGTTTGATGTTTGGTTCCGTGTTTGATAAACATCAGTTAGATCACTTTGTTTTGTAATAGACATCTATCCTTTTGTGTTCTTCATTTTACTATAGCTAATCTTTCCAACTTAATTCACTTTATAGACATTTTTTCAACCCGATTCTAAAATAGTCGGATTTTATGTAAAGTGTCGCAAACCACCTTTTTTTTAATTAAAAAGTATAAAGTGTAAGTATTAATTATTGAAAAAAAATGTGTATAAAGTGAATTGAGATGAGAAAATTGGCTATTTCAGTCAATTTTTCTCAATTTATATCCTACCCTGGTGTAGAAGAGAGATGACGGTGTTTAACGTAAACCATCTAGACTCTTTCCTATGAATCATCCATGATGAGTATTTCATAGATTCTGAATATTGCAGTCAAAAGTTGCATGTAAAAAAAAATCTGAAAAAATGATAATTTAAAATTAAGATGTAGAATTTGCACTCTTCCAACAACTATAACCGGTTACATAACCGGTTCCGGTCTTAACCGGTCTCGGTCCTAAAAACGTTAAAATCCATAACCGGCGGTCCACAACCGGTCCATACCGGTCCCTCTCCGGTCCCGGTTCCGTTCCTCCAGCGGTTACGGGCCGGGCCGGGCCCATTTGGCCATCTCTAAACTCGGCATTCGGAAATGATTCTTAAGCCTAAATAAAATTCCTTGTGTATGCTAATTGAATCCTGCTATCAAATTTTATATTTCCTAATAATTTTTTTTTTCACATTTGTAATGCTATGATTCGATCAAACGAGATTTTAACGGTAGGACCATTGATTGAAGTACAAGAGGAATAAGAGATGAGTCCTATTGTGATCAAAATAGAACTCGACCATTGGTTGAAGTGTAGTTCGTATTCCCCTTGCTATATACATCAATCATTACTAATACATGATTCTAATATAAAGGTTGAATTCTTTAACCAACTTGTTTTCGTGAGACCAGCTACGAAGAACAAAAACACAATGAACCTTCACACCAAAAATGTTATGAAGAAACAAAAACAAACCCTCATAATGTTTATATTGTGAAAGTTCGATGTTTTTGTGTACGTCCACAATGTTTGCTATGAAGGTTCAGTGTTTTGTTGTGATTTTACAGATTTAACGAAAACACATCGGTTGCATGGTCCCAAAATGTATAATATAACATCTAAAAAAATAGGATCTAAACTCAAAATATATTGTATGGTTGGATATCGTTCTTTTGAATCTTATTCATATATAAACATGGACACTTGTATTTATTCACTTACGATGAGATTGGAATTGTAACATTCCATTGCGCTACGTACTTTTCACAACAAAAATGAGGTGCATTGGATAAGACAAAACATGAAAGAATATCATAAAACATGAATTATTATTTTATGTTTGATAGGACTTTTATTTGCAACAGACAAAAACAAAGTGTAACAAACATAATTCACCCCCCACCTCATGGAACAAAGTGAAATAAACCTATATTTTATTAATATAACCTCAAAATTAAACCCAATTCTCTTTAAAAACATCAAAAATGCCCCTCTGTTCATCTTTTGTTCATTTTTTAAATTTTATATATTATATGTTTTATTCTCAAAATATTATTTTTTATGTATGATTTCTATATTTTGGTTAAATTTTATGTAATTTATTAAAAATTAACAATATAAAAGGTGTAAATAAAAGGCTTCTAAACAGAATGATTTGACTACCACAGATGGCAAACAAGGGTGGTCATAATTGGATAACGATAGGATTCATTCAATCTCTTGCACACTAATAACCCATTTTTTTGATATTAGATATCCTACTACTGTATTAATATAATGATTTACGTTCCCTAATGACCATATGGATACTCCGAATCATTCTCCACCACTTTCAAGTGCTGAGGTTGTTGCCCAGAGCAGTGCAGATTCCACATCTTAAAGTATGATCTTTCCAGATTTTTCACCTAAATCCAAATATTCATACATGAATTCATTTATCAACAACGAACATAGTTAAGTCATCCATAATCAAATCAACTTACCCAGCGTGATGTATCAAACAGAGGACAACTAAGGCGTGACAACTTCAGTCTGTTGGTCAGATCTTGGAGCTTTCCGCGGTTTAAAGCTAAATACACAGCCCTCTCTTCATACTCCTTCATACTTCATACCACAAAACACACAACCAAGCTTAATCGCAAATAACATACAAGGCTTGTTTGTCAAATAACAGAAGATCCACCCCAGAAGTAAATTAAACCCCTTTGGACAACTTGTACCGATTCAATGTCGATTAAATAGCCATCTTATGTTAAATGTTTTGGACTGATTCTATGTCAGTTAAATTATTTATAAGAACTTACTTGAGGAAGGCTGATGATGTATCACAAACAAAACAGAAACGAATTTATATAAATGTAGCAACTACCCACAATTAATAATTACTTCACTATTTGGTTTTAAAAATCACCAACCTGTTTACAATCATCTCCTCACCAACTCCAGTGGCTAGGCAGAGTGAACCAGCAACTCTAGTTGCCATTTTCTCAAGGGGAAGGGTCACCATCGGCAGACCAGCCCAAAGAACATCTGTTCCTGTCGTATGTGCATTGCATAACGGCCTACTCCAAGAGAAGACAGAGTTATTGCCAAACAAGGCATCTAGGTAAGGAATTGCTGTTGCTGATAACAAAGATTAAACAATAAAACAAAACAAAAGCTGTCTTAGAACAAGGGTTTGCATAGCATACGTATCAAGGCAAAGATCTGCCAAAGAACTGCGTCTGATGTGTTCCTGCTTCATAGCAACATCAGTGAAAATAATCTGGTCCGGCTGCACACCCTGAGCCGCAGCATCTACGGAAGCAAGCATCATGTGTAGCTTAGTCACTATCCAACACCATTTCTTATAACAGATAAAGGTGCAGAGGTGCACACCCGAAACTCAAGAAGAAAACACGACCAGTAGAAAAAAGAATAACCACAGAAGTTCGTAGAAAAAGAAAGGGCAAGCATAGAGATGGCAACACAAGTTAATACACATGCAAATAACAGCAGACCAGTAACAAAATCACATACAGGCACGGAGTCTCATTTCACCAGCAGCTGGGAATCTCAGAAGCCAAAGGGCGCTATTGGGAACACGCTTTAATATATTGCACCTGAAACATCATGTTAGAAGACTAAAGTACCATGATGTGTTAAAAACAAGTGACAATTGCTGTCAACACCGAATCCACATCTTACCAAGTCATAAAAATTTCAGGATCCATCTTGTAAAGCTGATTAAAACAAGCAAATATAAATTTGTTCTCTGGCAATCCATAAGCTGACCGCTTTGGTTGACAGTTTGGATCCAGTACATCAAGATTTTTCTGAACCAAACCATAACAAGGTTAATAGCTGGAGTGCACAAACATGCTCATGAAAAAGAACAATCCATATGAATATCTGAAAAATGTCTGCACTGAGAAGGCTACCTGCTTATAGTCGTTCACAAAGTAGCAATGAGGAAGATGCACAAGCTTCTCAGAGTAGATGTGAGAGAACCGAGTTGGAGAGACAAACTACCATAGCAATCCAGACATTTCAGCGTGCACTAGAGATGAGGTAACAATGAGGAAAARCAAATAACAAAAACTCCCTTACTTCATCAGTGACCAGATACTGTATGTAGCTAGCGCCCGTTGTACCAGGGAATCCCATATATGACACCTGAATCGGAGCAGGCTGCAGAGCAAATATCTCATTTCTAGCCCCCTGGAATACCAGTATAAAGAAAAGTAAGATCACTAACAACAATCTAGAATAAAGTGCATGAAGCAATAAGGATCGAAAAATCATTAATAAACATTGAGGTTCATTTAATCACACCTTGGTATAACCATTGAGGTTGATGAGTACTTGTATCTGATCCTCATTTATCAGCCTTGAGATCATATCAGAAGTCATTGCTGACACGTCCTTAAAGTGTTCTGCTTCTGATTGAATTCGGAGCCTCCATTCACTCCCATCATTTGGACTCAAAGCATAGCAGAAGACCTAAGGTTGCGAATATGTCGTATTTCAAACCAGAACTTAAGGAGATCTAAGATCATAATGAAGAAAATGTTAGACCAGCAAACCTCAACATTTTCTCTATCATGCATTCCAAATACCGATCCCATCAAATGTGACAGTGGATGGTTTCCAAAGTCACTGCTGACATATCTACAAGCAGCAGCATTATTTCAGTAACTTATACCTTGCTACCGGATCCACATAACAAGAAATAAAAGAACAAATTATTTCAGTAAGATATATCTACCCAATTTTTAGTCGATTGCTGCCTCCTGTACTTTTTATTGGTAACGGAAGAGGATGGTTGAAAGCAGGAAGAGAAAAACGGCTAGCAATGACAGAACAGTGTGCAGCATACTTCCGACTACATAAAGGAAAAAAGAAATCAATTAGCATTATATATTTAATCAGTCACGATTCCAACTCACATGAACTACACGTACCTGATTTCAAGTGCAAGCATTGGATCAAGGGGATATGCAATCGCATGGAAAGGTTGCACACTAGGAATAACCGACATCTGGATGGAAATAATTAGTGCTTAAGAATCATATGCTATAAGAGGGACAAAACGCTAAAAATCATAAGGTTGCTGAGAAAAGAACTAATTTCAAGCAGAAGCTGTCAAAACCTTGATCTGTCTCCGAAGTATACTTTCAACTTCAATAAACATTCTTTTCCTGTCATCCCAGTCGCATACACACTAGAAAAAGAAAAAGAATAAGTGTCACAGATTGGAAAAGAAATCTCTTTGAGGAAGATAATTGGATTCCACCATAAAATATCAGTAGATCAACCTACAATAGATGGGCCTCTTGCAAAGAGAAGTTTTGCTTGCATTCAATAAAAGTGAAGATTAACAAGATGAGGTAAAAGAATGTGTTGCATATGTAACTATGTAAGTAGACATTAGTGTCCTATTAGTTCTGCATTGAAAACTAACCAAACAACCACCTTATTGTGAATTCCCTGATCATAACAGCAAAACCACATGGAATGCTAGACTCAAAAACTAAAAGGGACTAAGATGGCAGAGAAAAGAAAATAATACAGAAGATAACAGAAAAATATCTTTCAGATGGGACCAAAATTAGATACTCACTTCCCTTAGTAGCTGAAACAAGGCTTAAGTTCAAAGGAAATAACTAACAGAACCATTTGTCCGTAAACCTCGAATCAAATCTGCAGTGCTCATTTACTAATTGTCTATGGAGTGACTCACTCAAGGTTTTTCAGCTTTCAATGCCTTCAGAGAAGATCGATCTGACAACTCTTTGATGATTAAAACAACTTGGTCACGCAGATACATCAAACTTGAAATAGGACACACTAAATGGGCTGTCACTGACAACCCAGGTACGCAAAGAGAGCACCCATTAAATCTATGACACTTAAAAATATACCTGTAATGTGTGCAGCAGATTACAAGTTGCTTCAGGAAAATCAGGACGTATGGCCAATGCTTGTCGATAGCTTTTAATAGCTGCTTCCACATGTCCACTACAAATTAAAAGTCCAGATGTTCAAACTCGTCTCAAAATGACCATGACCATGTTAGATGTCTCATCATTCCGAATAAGCTCAAATACCTGTCTTTATAAGCTGAAGCCAGATTTGCATGAGCTTCAGCCATGTTTGGGCGTATAACAATAGCATGTGAGTAGTCTTGAATTGCTTCATTAACTCTCCCAATCTCCTTGTAAGTGTTTCCACGATTAACAAGACCATCGGCTGCCAGTGGATCAATACGAAGAACTTCATTGTAGCAAGATATAGCGTCAGCATAATTACCCTGTTTGTTAAATCAAATATTTACTGTCAGCTTTCAGACAAAGCTTCTTTGAACATGACATAGAATATTTCTAACATGTGCCACTTTCCATATCCAACCACAATTGTTAGCATGTAAAGCAAAATTATGATGAGAGAAAGAAAGAAAATAAGAGATTTTGCTACCTGCTGCTTGTATATTATTGCCAGATTGTTAAAAGGAGCAGATAATCCTGTCGTTACAGTTAAAGTTGCCTTGTAACATTGTGCAGCAGCTGTCATCATATTCCTGGGTATCATAAACCTCTCTCAGAACCATTTTACATGTATTGCTGCTCTATCTCAAGAATGACTTTTACTACTTCCACTTGACAGAGTATATCATAAATAAGCCTATCAATGCTGATGTATAAACATACCATTCCATGTATATGTTTCCAAGATTAGTGAGAGCCTGAGGATGGCTAGGTTGCAAAGAAAGACATTGCTAAAATGCAAAAACAGAATTTCAGTCACAACTAAGCCAATGGAAAGTTTTTCGAAGTAGAAACTCAATGCAGAACAATAGGATAACCCACCCGGTAGCAATGAATGGCTTCCTCAACTTTGCCAGCATCCTTGAGGGCATTTCCCTAGCAAACAGAAGATTATCAGATACATAAGAGAACAAAACAAATGCGTGGAGGTCTGTTCCATCCTAAGGATGAACAAAATTAGCTATTTTATAGAGGAGAAACAAACTCACCAGATTATTATACGCTTCCAAAAATCCAGCATCACGAGCGACGGCCTGCTTATAATGGTTAATTGCCATCTCCAAGTTACCTTGCTCATAATATATGCTAGCTAAATTCCCTGAAAAGTTAATAAGTACAAGAGAGAATGACTTGCATTAGTATTTGGATAGAGAACACTGAACATAATGCAGAATGAAATAACCAACTAAGCAGTTTGAATGTTCCTGTATCCATCAAAAGAGTAAAAGATAATAGTCATTGGACTAAAGCTACCAAATACCCATAAACTGCTGAAAATCTGGACCATTACAAATATCAGACAGAAAATTACGGAACATGCAGATTTTTCTTCAGTGGTACGGGGTAAACCCACAAAAAAGTAATTGTAACTGAATGACATTCAAAACTCCATGTTCTCATTCTTAACTGGCATTATAATTGCTACACCCAAGGTGATACCATTAGACCCCAAGATGCCAAGCTATAATTCACAGAATTAGACAAGTGGACATGCACAAATGAACCATATAGAAGCAAAATACCATAGTATTACTCACCAAAAGCCATGGCATAGTCCGGTTTAGACTGAAGAGCACGCTGATAACATACAATAGCTTCTGGAGCCATTCCCAAAGCCTACAAAGTGCAAAGCAAGCCTATTTTAGTCAAAGAAAAAGATTGTCCTCGCATTTAGACCCATCAAAAAATTACCAGGAAAACAACAGGAGGCTCACCTTGTATACATTTCCCAAATTCAAATAGGCATCAGCAAATGTTGGTTTAAGCTTGACCGCCTCCTGCAATGTGCAACTCCCATGTTGAGATAAATCCAACCAAAAGATACAGGACATACAGTTGCATACCATTGACAACAAAACAAAATCTGGTAGTTGAATAAGCAAACTGAACACATCACCCTTCTACAAGTTGAAACATTCTTTAAGCGACCAAACTAAGTATCGGTTCATTTTCGAGATAAACTTAAATGTGGACCAGCCATCAGAAGCATACAAAATTTATATACCTTGTAGTACTGGAGTGCCCTGTTAAGATCGCCCGACTCCATGAAAAGGCCAGCAAGGTTAGACCATGCTATGGCAAAAGTTGGCTGAATACGGAGTGCCTCCACGTAGCAATTGTATGCCTGTCCGAAAAATACATCTTAAGATATAAAAGAAGCTACAAAATGGCTTTGTCATAATCTTCGCGAAAATATCCTGATGGGAGTTCCCCTTCACACAGGTCTCTGAACAGCTCGTAAAGACATTGCATTCAATAAAGATAAAGTGCATAGATAGACGAAACTCATTTCCACTCTGGGGCCCTGGATCATCGTAAGCCCCCAAGACTAGAATAACAAAGTGATCGAGATCTGTCAGAGGCTAATGAACACCAACGTTATTAGGGAAGAGGCTATCTCAATATGGAAAAATTCAGAGGTGAAGTTCAATGGATGACATGTTCAAAGCATATTGAAATCGATTGTTATAATGAAATTATTGCCAATGGAACAAAGAGATAATGAGATGACCGAACATGTGCATCAAATTAACTTACTTCTTGCACTAATCCTTGAGCTTTCATCAAGTTCCCAAGGTTGCTATGAGCATCAACCTACAGAAACAGACAGAATAAACATATGGTTACAAAACAAATAAACAATAGATCATCAAGTCAGCAACAAATATGGTAATGTTCTGACCAAACGAGGGTTCAATGAAAGAGCCTGGCGACAGCATTGAGCAGCTTCAGTTAGCCTTCCTTTCCGCATGTAAGCACTTCCCAAGTTTGACCATGCATCAGCAAAATTGGGACGAAGCTGCATGAATCATACTTAAGGTGAGTGGGAGTAACAGAAAGAGGTAGAACACAAGGACAGGCAAATGAAGACACTGATGGAGGGGGGAAGATAGCTCCACTAGAACAATAACATATGCTAGAATAGAAAGCATAACCCATCATGTGGCTCCATGACATCAAACTTATAATCAGTTAACTGTTCAATGTTTAGACCCAACTCAAACGGTAAATTTGTCACTCTCACTCGTCAAGCCCCACAACCCAAAAAAGAAGTGTGGATGTAATAAGCAAAGAAGCGCCTGCTATACAGTAACCAATTATACTGCTATAGATCAGGTATGTTTTCCTCTATGCTAGAAATTATATTACGGTTGCTGTATAAATTGTGAACTTAGATACAACATGCATTGGTCAGATCTTATTGCTACTAAATCATTGCTCCTACAGTGAAACTGAAAGTTTACTCTTCCACTCTCCATATCCATGTATTCTAAGGATTCTGAGGAAGGAAAAAACCACCATGCAGTTACATAAAAATTGCAATCTGAACCCCCAAAATGATCTAATGAAAAGCAAAAAACTGGGCAACAGCTTCATGCATTTTTTTTATTTTACTCGGTTATTTGTTCTTCTATCTTGAGATTCAAATTTAAGAAATCTTGTTCTGTTTGTTTCAAACACTATAAATTGTTTTATCATTTTACAATATTTCCTTTTACAGCAATTATATCCGACATAATAAGAAATTTAAACCCTGATATATGTACATGTCACTTGAAAAAATTTCAATATGATGTTTTGAGAAGGAACTAATATTTACAGTGCACTTCAATCAGCACAAGGAACCAATTTCATGGTAACGGATTAGAGTGCACATGTGCACATTATAGTGTCTCCCAATACCAAGACTATTTCAAGAGGTAGCATGATGGATATCATATGAAACCGGCCATGCCTACTTCACGGGATGAGGGTGTGGTTCATAGTGTTGGGTACATAATTGATTAGTTGTAGTTCCATGTGATGCATCATGCATTAATTGGGTGCCAGCACAGCATGGTAACATAATGCAACACATGATAGAATTCTGTCTATATATGCATTATACAAAAACTCTTCCATTCTATAAGTACCTCCCAACCATTGAAAACCTACTAAAAGTTAGTTTTGAACTTCCCTCTTTAGCTGAAAATGCAATAGAAGATCATTGAATAATGTGAAAACACAAAACCGAATGGAGTCAAGACTGATATAAAAACACAATTATACAACTCGGATTTTGAAATAAATAATGAAAAAAATCTTATTATTTCCCAACTTTTATTCTCCACTGTTCTTTTCTCACGAGGGTCAGTCTGACCTGGTGCTCAACGGCACAGGCTAGATTCCCCAGCCTATCATTATCATGCATAACTATGATTTTGGAATACCTCACAACAACTAGACGATATCGGATAACATAATACACCACCTTATCATGTTTATGTTGGAACTTATTTCAACAGCTGATCGTTGATCAGTACAAATATAACTAGAATGTTCACGTACCTCGATTGCAACTAAATAATAGCGAATAGCAACATCAATGTTTCCCTTTTCCTGTACAGAAAAAATATATATAGTATATATCAAGCATGTTATAGCTCAAACATACATAAAAAAGAGAATAGAAAATCCAGTAATGAGTTATGACCTTCCATGCATTTGCCATATTCCCATAGCACTCTGCAAAATTTCGATCAATCCGGAGAGCTTCTTCATTCTTTGCGATGCACATATCAAAGTCATGTAACTGAACCAACAGCAAACAAGTCTTCTGTGAGAACAAATGCAAATATCTAAACCAGAAAGAAACAAAGCTACATAGATCACAAAGCCAACCTGATAATATATTGCTCCCAGGAGAAGAAGATTATCTGTTCGCATTGGGTTTCTGTCATAGACAGCCTTGCTATGATCTAATGCCTGTCTAAAGTCTCCAGACTTGTATTTCTGATGAGCAAGGGACATGAGCATATCTTCATCGGCTGTAACATGCAACCATGATGTTCAGCTGCTCAGATAAAAAGCACAAAATCTATGCAAGCGCAATAAATCCAAATAAAACGGTAACAAACAATCTTCAGGTAATCATCTTCTCTTTCATCCTTCTCTCTCTCTTCCCCTCCCTCCCTCCCTCCCACACATAGGGCAGAATAATGCATGGCAAAGAAAGAACAACCAAACATTTCAAATAAGGGTATGGAAACAGATAGTGAGGACCTCAACCCAAACTACCACAAAGGTCTATCATGTTATGTCAAAGGATCGCCACAAGGTGAGTGATCAAATAAGATCCCAAACTACATTCACAACACAAACAAACAAAAAAACAAAAAACAGCCACCCTACCTCTCTTGCTCACACCTTGTTCAAAATTTGGCTAGCAGTGCCCATCATTTTGATTCTTTACCATCCGGTCTCACTGATCCTCTTACCTTTTGCTCCAGAAGTGTTCACATTGCCCAAAATTTGGTCTCCCAAGAAATTATCTAAAGTATAATTCTAAAATCTTGAAAGGTTATACCGAATTGTAATCCACTACGAACACAATAAAGAAAACCATAATCGATATCTCAGACTCGAAACAGTGACTTACAACTTCGACTACTGCAATTTTCAAGTTCCAAAACCCTAAGAGCAAGAACTTCAAGATTACCACAATTTGGAACATACTCACACACAAAAAACAACCAAACCCTAGGTATCATCCTATAACCTAAACCATAAAGATCAGAACAGCATTAAACCTTCACGAATGTCAAGACCTTGCGAGAGTTTAAGATTGACGTTCGATGGTGAAGGGTCAATTTCCGTTGACAAAACAAACGAAGATTCACGCTGATGATCGCCATTGTTATACGAAACCCTAGCAGCCTGCTGCAACAACTGCTGTTGCTGCTGCTGCTGCTGCTGCTGCTGCTGAAATTGTTGTTGTTGAACTTGTCGCGGATCGGTCTGTAACGACAACATCATTGATCGGCAAGATAATTTCCAAGAACGGAGATCGTCGTCGCCGATTGTATTTCTTGGTTTTCAAAAAAATATCATGGAACACGACGATGATGAGTATACCATCTCATAAACTTAGAGGATCAAAAACAAAGGATGATGATCCTCTCGCTTCTCGATTTGGGGGATCTTTTGCGTAGAAACGAAGAAGAAGAAAGAGAAATGCCCACGAAACTATTTTTCCTTTTTATTCGTCGATTTTGCGACTAATTACCATAAAATCTTTCCCACCCACCGATCAAAATATATTTCACATGTCCGTCTCACCGCCTCATGGGCCCATAAATATGTTAATTAATTAATAAAATGTAATCTTTATTTATATAAAAGAAAAATTTTAATCTTGAAACAATTTTTAAAAGAATTAAATATATTAAATAGCAACTTTCATAAATTTTTTTATTATAGTATTTTATTTTTGTTTTTCTTTATTATAGCAATGTATTTTTAAATTATTTTTTATTAAAGCATCATACTTTAAAAAATATATTCATTATAGCAATTGGTAACCTATTACCTTTTAAACCGATTAACCTCTTGACTTTTTTTTGCTTGTGTGGCTTTGATGAGATGATGTAGATGACACATCATTTTGATGACTTAACTAAAATAAAAATAAAAACATATTTCAAATTATTATTAATGATTTTCATATTTCATTACTATGGTTTAAAAAAAACATTTAATTTTTTTGACTTTTTCTTATTAAGTTGCATGCAAATTAAATATCTAAAGTAAAATATTTCTTAAATAAATATGCTGAATTATTTTCGAGATAAATTTTATTTATAAAAAAGATAATATTTCTTATTTTATGTTGTTCAAAAAAAAATACATATCTTAAAAGTTTTCTTTAAAATGTTAACGAAATAAATTGTTTTCTACGATATTATTATATTAATAAATAATTCAAAAAAATCTAAT